GAGGCCATCCAAAGACGGGTGCGCCTGCTCTGCTACCCGGTCTCCGGGGACCAGTTCATCAACTGCGCCTACATCACGGGGGTGTACAAGGGATTATGATTCATGACAACTTTGTACGTTCCTTGAGCATCGCACAAATTCAGTCATCGGCGGAAAAAAATAACTTGGCCGGCAGGAGAATGATCGTTCCACGGTATTGGTTCAGAGTTTGGGTGAAAGTATTCTCCCCATACCTTATTCCCCCCTCCTCCAACACCTCCCCCCCCCCCAAAAAAAAACTGCTTTCCCCTTTCTTCTTCCAAATTAGCATGCATCGAAGGGAGTAAAGCATGTGTATATAGAAAGGAATAAACAAAAATTGACTTGTACTAGAGTTATTGTGACTATTTTAGTGTGGTTCCTAGGAAAATTGATGTAACTAAAATTTCAGCTGTGGAGAATGAATATTTCACCCGATTCTCACAACACCTTTAATCTAGGTGTAGGACTCCTCTAAAACATCCAAAAAAATAAAAAAAATCCAGTCTCTACGACCACATACAATTATTAGCTTATTTGTTAACATAAACAAATAAAAACAGTGCACTCAAATAGTAGAAAATCAGAGTATATTATTACTTTGCCATCCATTCTTGGCAAACACATCTAAAAGTGATAACCGGCATAACCTCCAACGCTTTGTTTGCCAATCAAAACTTCTGTCTTTAATTTTCACACTAGCAGTGCCTTGAACCATAACCAATATGATCCTCTAAAATAGCATGCATGTTTTTTTTTAATTTCTTAAAGAAAATATCCTGCATAAAAAAATTTATTATAACATGCTTAGGTGTTAGAGGGGCCTTTTTTTATTTCCCGGGCATGATATATATAAAGATTTTAAGAAGAAATTCTCAACCGTAGCCGCCTAGAAAACTCCCAGACCCCAATTCCAAACTCCAGTTGTTTCGCACTACAGGGCAGTACTGTGATACAGTAACAAGGAACAAACCAAAACTATAGGCAAACGTCTCTATACAACGGCTCTTTGCCGCTATTTTATTGGTTTGCTGCCGAAGAGATTTTTCAGTGCCACCAACATTATTAAACCTTGATTGATATATCTCCCTTAACCGGAGAACCCACTACGCTACAGGAGTGTTGGCAGTTGGCAGTCGTCAGCGAAAGACGAGAGCGCATGCGCAATTCGCTAGAGCATGCAACGTCACTTTCTGAACGTCACTTTCCTGTACCCGTGCCTTCTAGGTTAAGGCACGGGTGATACGTACAGTACAGGAAAAGAAAAACAAAAGCTACTTTCTGAACGGCACTTTGCTGTCGGCACTCGGCACCAGCCACGAGTGACGGCACTATCCCGTCCCGATCTGTTGTTTTTAAGCCGTACTTTTTTTTAAGTTTATAAGTCGTATTTTTTAACTTAATAAACAATATTTTTATCTGACAACAAATTAGTTAACAGTATTTTTAATCATGACTTATCAGATAAACGAACAAGCATCCGTCCCTAAACACGAACCAATGCAAACTGTCCTTGGCTTCCTCCAAAGCCATATAGTAGGATATCTTAACCGGGTTCCTGCAACGTGCGTCGCCGCAACTGGGTTTACATACGTGCATGCACCCAAGCAGCACATCTCCCCGACAGGCGACAGCAACTTCCTTCGGCCGCCGATGGTCGGAAGGTGCATTTCCACTCTCTTCCGCGCACCAAGAACCGGCCGTGCATGCTCGGCAGTGCGCGCAGAATAGGACCGCAGCATGCAGCAGGAGTTCCAACGTGGCTGGATTGGAACTGAGCGTCGCGATCGAGCAGCGTGTTTCCGCACGCGCGTTTTCTGCCTTTTGCGAGTAGCAAATCATCACCACGGTTTGCAGATGATACCATGATGACGATGATCCATTGATCCGATGCGTCCAAGCGGCTGCCAAAAAGGGTGGCCGGAGCGGGGCTGTTCTTGAAGGCCGAAAAGTGAAAAGCTAACTAGGAGTATTGATGAGAGGGCACTGCACTTGCACTTCTGAGTTCTGAATTTCTGATCGAGGAGCACCCGGGCGCCAAAAGCAGCGACGTCCGCTAGTGCAGGCCGCAGGCTAGGATGGCGATGCGATGCGACCAGCACCAGCTGCGCTGACACAGTGACTCGACGGAAGGTTGCTGGGTGCCGGGCCGGGCGTTTTCCATGTGCTCGCACTCGCAGCGACGCACGGCCGGCCAGCCAGAGGCAGCCACTGAGCCACAAGCCAAATCTGCCCATCAGTTGGCAGGATCGGGGCCGGCCGCCACGAGCGGTCAGGAATCCGAATCTAGGCGGATCATGGCCGGGCCGTGCGATCTGGCTTCGACCGTTTGAGTGACGCGACTTGGCTGCCGTGATTGCTGCCCGAGATTAGACTTGAGATGAAGGGACCGGCCCCGCATGCCTTGTTTGTTTGTTGGGCTGGGCCATCCGGTACCAACCTATGTGTAAATTCAGCTAGGCATGGCCCGGCAAACAAATATGTTTTGTTTGCCAGACCCAGACTTTTTTTTTTTTGGAACATATCTAGTGCAAACCAACCTCTCCGTGCAAACCGTGCAAACCAACTGCGGGGGAGAGGTGGGAGGGGGGATTTGCAAAAGTATAATTACGCCCGCTCCTAATTACACTTTTACAAATCCCCCCTCCCACCTCTCCTCCGCAGTTGGTTTGCACGGAAAGGTTGGTTTGCACTTGATACATTGCCCTTTTTTTTTTAGAGTAATCAATCATTTCTCTCTTCCTCAACTTTGGCAGACTTCTGTACGTATGCAATTTAGCTTATACTCTTTTACCCTCATGTCCTACTCTAATGTTAATGGCTTCAAGAGTGTTTATTGTCACCGGAAGTAGTTGTTGTTGCACGTTATATTTTTCTTTATTGGTTGGTTAACGTCATGACCTTAGAGCTATATATGGGCTCAAGCTTAGTAGAGTAGCTCTCATCCTCTTGTACATTCACTTCTACAAATACTGCATATTAATGGCATCGTCAACATTCTTTTTCATTGGCTGATATCAAAGTTTTAGGCGGTCAGGTTTCAACTCCCTGTTCGCCCTTGTCTCCTGGCAAATTTGGAAGGAGCGCAATGCGAGGTGTTTCAGAGAATCGACAGCAAGCATCACCGACCTACTACAGCTAATCAAGGCCGAAGCCGATCGTTGGATGGAGGCCGGAGCAGGAGTCCTTGCAGCATTAGCTCAGACCTAGCGATGCAACGCTCCAGCATGTACTCAGGATGTTTACCTTTCAAAATGTAGCGCTAAGAGAAAACTAACTGGCTTTCTTGTATTATAAACTCTTCATCTTCTAATACAATGATATGCACATTCGTGCGTGTTCGAGAGAAAAAAGTTTTAGTATTAGCTTTATATATTATGCCTTCCATAGTAAGGTAGCTGACATTTTTGGGTATTACGTTTTTAAAATTTCTATGTTTATTTTTAAAACTCTCGTATTGAACTATTTTATTTTTTAATATTATACTATTTGATACCAAAATATAATTTAAAGTGCAACTTTGAATTTCCTTTTTCCCCAAGACAAACATTCAACCATTTTTCCTTTGAAATGAAAAAATTCATTGACTTATCAACAAAAGGAGGACACTTTTTTAATAATCGCGTGTGTTGGTAAGAGAGAAATGGATATAAGGGTATTTATAGGTTAATATTTTTTGCATAATAACAGTGGTGGGTAACTTGTCAACATGTAGAGTGCCACTTTGATTTTAATTTTTCTCTGATTAATATGGTGATTTGTAGACTTTGAGAATTAATATGGAGACCTGTTTTGGCCCAATACTAAGATAACAGATGACAACGACAATTGGAATTCCTCGCGATCCATCCATTAAAAGCATTTCCAAGAGTTTTCAAGACCCAATCTCAATTTTGATTTTTTAGCAAGATTAGAAAGAAAAAAAACGCTCTCCAACAATCCCTTAACCCAACTCCCAACACATGGTAAAATCAATCCAATCGTGTGAAAATATACGTGCGCATATTAATCGGCCAATACGGAGGTGGATTAACAATTGGTATAAATAGTAAGAACAGGGTCCCTAATGCAAATATACAAGAGGGAAATAAAGTGTGTAAGTGGTTAGGGTAATTTGGAAATAGTATGGGAATACAGATGGAAATTGTCTTCTATATTTTAGAACGAGATTCTTGAAACAGGTAGAGAAACTCAATAAATATGTTCCCAACATTTTTTTTAGCAACTTGCAAAAACTCCTTGATTAACCCTATTTTTTTTTTTTTTTGAAATTATTGGAGATGCTCTAAGACACCGCTATGTCTCCGCCTCCGGCAATGTGGCCACATCGGTTAGAGTGGGGACCCTCCTTTTCATGATAATAGTGCTAGTAGATAGAGTCATGGTGTGAGCCTAAATTATCCCCATGAAATGAGGTTATAATCCTCTGATGATGAAACCAGATTAGGAGGAACAATCTCGGTACTTCCCAATATGCATCTTATGCAAACCTAGGATTAACGCGTACCCCCCTCCCAAAAGAATTACAATAGTATTTATATAGGTCAAACCAATTTAAGTTTGATAAACTTTATAGTGAATAGCATTAAACTAAATTTACTATAAAAATATATTTCATAATAAATTTAATAGTATTTATTTTATATTATAAATATTACTATTTTTAACATAAATTTGATCAAATGTCAGACTATTTGACTTATCGAAAAGTAAAAATTATATTCTTTTTTTAGAACAGAGGAGTATAGCTCTTGTATAGTGTAGATGAAAATTGAATTTGTAGCGACTCATTCACAGGTCACAGCACTGCAGAAGCATCTAACGGTGATGCACGCGTGTTCTGTTCAAACCAGTGCCACATGTCACTTACGCCACGGTGGGGCAAACGATAAGCTGATAAGGTAACAGTAGTATCTTCAAGGCTTCAGCGCCACAGCAGCCTGGAACAGGTTCCGCTGCACTGCACGGCAAATTCCGACATCATGGCGAGAGCTTGCAACCGCGCGCTGAGACTGCTGCCGAATTCCTTCACCACGCAGCTGGCAAGCAGCGGAAGCCGCGCCAGATGCAGAAACCTCGCCGTTCACGCGCAGCTTTCCACTGAAGACGATGCTTACATGATCGAGCCACTGAAGAAAGTGCAAGTCACACAGGTACAGAGCGCAGTGTTCACGATGATTTGTGTGGGTGATCCTTGAAAGCTCATTTCTGGTGCGGCTTGTCTCGATTCAGAGCCTCCGGAAGACCCGCCGGAGGGGAACCGGGGGCGCGCGGCAGAGCCTGGTCTCCGTCGGAACGTCGTGCGGCGGAGGTGATCAGTGGAGCAGCGACATCGAACTGACGTTGCGGCAGCTGCATCTAGACGACCTGATCGAGGACGGGCAGAGGGACGCTGACGTGCTCGTGCACCTTCTGGTACAGCAGGTAATTGCCTAGGGTTACAGCAACAGAATGAATGATGAGTGTGCCCGTGCACTTATCAGTTAATGATGGGTCTGAAGAACATGTGGTGAGTTAGATCGAGTACAAGTAGATAGATAGGTTCGCAGGCGAGGAACTGATATTCGTGTGATTTGTTTTCAGCACACTCAGTTTGGGATGTCGATAAAAGGGCGAGTCCTCACATCCTTCAGAAAAATATGCGATTCCTGCTCCTTGCCGTACTGCACAAATGTATTGTTCTCTCACCGAAAATCTTCTCCGTTCTATCATGCTATTCGAATTTCGATATGAGCTCCTTTACCGCACGTCAATAATATAGCATGAAAGATACCAAACCTTGGTACCTGAGGCACCAACCTCAAGTAATAATTTAGATACACACTTGTCAAAGACTTGTAAAGGCTCGTTCGGTTGTCACGGATTGCTGGGCTGGAACAAATCCTACCTGGATTGCTTCACTAATTTATATAACTTTAATAAGCTGGAAAGATTACTGGTATCATTCTGGCCTAACCGAACAGGCCCTAAATAAAATCTTAATTTAAGTTCTGCACATATGCAGAGGCATTCAATCATATTTTCAGACAGCTGACATGCTCTTGCTCTGCAGATCGATGAACGCTTCAATCTCACGGTTCTGTCTTCAACCAGGAGAGATCAGAGTGGGCTGCCTGATCTCGGTGACACTGATCCATCGGTATGAGTTCTGAATTAGCAGCGCTTGGATTTCTGTTCAAATTTCTGAAGCAATACTCACGCCAGTTCCAACTTATCTCCACTTTTAAACAGGTCATCTATGTCAGACCAGGAGATGAAGTCGATCTTGACTCGGTAATCCAAGAGACCGTACGATTAACTGCATCCGCTAAGGTGAAACACTGGTCCTGATTACAGCCTGCATGCTAGGTTGGTCAGTGACGTTACTGATTAATATGTGGACATCACGTGCAGAGTTCATGTTCGGAGACCTGCGAAAAGTCTACAGTTGTATGGCAATGTATGCACTTGCTACGATTAACTGCACTTAATTTCAATCAGTAACGTACAGTACAGATCTTTGTCATGATCCTTTATCTCTAATTCTGCAGATGGTGGTAGCCAGAGGAAGAAGACTTCCAACCAAAGGTGGTCAAAACTTCTTGATCTGAAGAAAACCCTGGATAAAGCGCCTAAGTGAATTACTTACTATGCATCAGTCAACTGCCAATGCTGCATATAGAGAATAATGCTGTATCATGATGCTGGAATGGAAGTGGCGACAACTTGTTCAACCAAGATGAAAGGTTGGTGGTTTATAACTCACTAGCAAACGTGCCCGTGCGTTGCAACGGGGAACCCAATACATATTAAATTCGAACTACGTATCATCGATAGACGCAAGTTGTTCTAATAACTTGTATGAACACGGCGTATGAGTGAGTCATATATAAGATATAGAGAGCGAGCGCGACCCAGTATGTCTTCCAATGGGACTTCATATGCATCATCGCTAGACGCGAGTTTTTCCAACTCATATGAGCACGGTGATTGAGTAAGGGTCATACGAGTCTGGATCACATACAAAATACAAAATACGGAGGGTGTAAGTGACACGGAAGAAGAAACTTTCCACTATCCGGGAGTTAGAGGGAGGTGGTGTCATCTATTCTAATTTATTTATGAAATATGACTCAATACCGCATGATGACAATGATCTAACTTGTATGATCACGCTTTGCCTTAGAATCAGACTCCACACAGTGCACGAATGCATCATTAATTTCATTTCATTTTGGATTAGACTCTACCATCCACGGATGCGAATTTTTCTAGCTAACCTGGGCATTATATATTTTGATATTATATATATAATATCTGCAGATTATTCTAATATATGCAATGCCACGATTTCATACTTTTGTTTTTTTGGTCCTAGGAGCTATAAGGTGTTAACTATTGTTTAAATAAATACTTTCCTCCGTTTTCGTTTACTCGTCACCAACCTTTTATTGAAGCAGATTTGACTAGTCGTTTTTTTCTTCTCGAAAATCTTAGATACTTCAAAGTATATAACATTAATCAAGTATGTAAAATGAAGAATCATATATGTGAAAACTTGATGTATCTAAAAATCTTTTGCAAAAAAAAAACGCATGGTCAAAATTGTTACAGTAAAAATTCGGTGACAAGTAAATAAAAACGGAGGGAAGTAGAAAAGATTTTGTTATACATCACATCACATATATATGGTTTGGTGGTATGCACTTGCTATTGTATTGATGGAGATGGAGATTGGAGATCTGGTTCGATCCCTCACACGTGGCTTCTATTTTTAGCGTTTTTTCACATGTATATGGGTGCTCGGTTCTATTTTTAGCTTTTTTTCACATGCATGTGGGTGCTTGCCTGTCACATCCGGTCCAATTTGGAATTTGGTCCGTAGTGACCCATGTGCATGTTAATAAGATATTGTAAAGAGTTTGGTCCCACCTTATTGTTAAAGGTGGGATAGACCAACATATAAGGCTTCTAGAGTCCATCCCACCATTTCGGGCTTAATCATTTTAAAGTTGGATAGACTAACATATAAGGCTTTTAGAGTCCATCCCACTATCATCGGCATAATTCTTTTATGCGAAGCGATGACGAAAGTGTAAGTAGGATGGTAGTAGCGTAAGTGGGTAGTAGCGTAAGTGGGATGGTGATAGATGTGATTCTTGTGGTAGGTGTGGTTCACTTAACATGTAGAGTGGATCTGAGTCGTTTTTGACTCCGGGGCGTTACATCGCCTCTAATTTTTAGCTTTTTTCACATGTGTGTCAGTGTGTGGTGCTCGCTCGGACTTGTTGTGTGGGTGCTCAGATTTCCGATGAAAAAGAAAACGTGGACAGAACACATTCCGATAAAAAAGAAAACGTGGACAGAACACGGAAGCCGTATGGGAAGGTGGGTACTCGCTGGGACTTCCAAACCGTATGGGAAGGAAGAAACAGATACGGATACGGGAAGGGAAGCCGTATGGGAAGGTGGGTACTCGCTGGGACTTCCAAACCGTATGGGAAGGAAGAAACAGATACGGATACGGGAAGAGAGAGGCAGAAAAAAAAAACATGGCAGAAGAGGATTACCAGGCAAAAATCAGAATTCGAATAGAGATCGGAGTTGGACAAAATAAATTGTGGTAGAAATTTTATCTTTTTATTATTAGGTATAGATATAGATATAGATTGGTTATCTTTATCTTTTTGAAGAGAAGAAGAGAGGATTAGCAATCTTATCTGAATGGTATATGTACTGCATGCCCAGGGACTGGTCACGTTGAGAACTCAGATACATGGCCATACAGTATAAGCATATCATCAGAGAGAATAAATGTGTGTGAAGACAACTACTGTTTGGCTGTTTGTATAAAGCATTTCTTGTTTTTTAGAGTTTAAGTGTAAAACATTTCTTGTTGCCCCAAAACAAAATCACACATCATGCATTCAGTTTCCTTTCAACTGCTAGAAGTAGTTCACCGTCATAATTATTCAAGCTTGTTCTTTCCTCAGTTCTCTAGGACAAAGTTCCAATGAAATTATCCACTTTGTCATTTAAATGCCTCGATGCATATCGGCGGCTTCACGTTAAAAAGAGACAGTATCGCCTGCGGCAGAGACCATACTCCGTCGCCGCAGATCGAGCCGGACGCGACGGCATAGGCGAACGCGTTTGCCTGATCCTTGTCCACCCATACCCAAGCGAAGAGTATCACGCTCCCCAGGAACATGTCGATGGCGAAGTACGGGCCAATATAAAACGGGATCTCCATCGCCATGGGGAGCGGTATGAACTTGGCCACCTTCTCCGGAGCCATGTCCTTGGCCACGTTGACGGCGATGGCGCCGACGAAGAAGACGCAGCAGAGCGTGAGGCAGTTCCCGGGGAGCTTGGAGAAGCCGACGACGCTGAGGATCGCCATGTTGACAATCTCCCCCTTAGTCACACACCGGAGTGCCCCCGCCATATATGACGCTCGAGATTTTTTATTTGGTTTAGCTTTTCTGACCATGGGTTCACGATATCAATTGTTGGAACCGGTGGTGACCACCGAGTTCATGATCTTGGAGCTAGCTTGCCGTAGGATCGCCATATTGACAATCTCCCCCTTAGTCACACATCGGAGTGCCCCCGCCATATATGACGTTCGAGATTTTTTATTTGGTTTAGCTTTTCTGACCATGGGCTCACGATACCAATTGTTGGAACCGGTGATGACCACCGAGTTCATGATCTTGGAGCTGGCTTGCCGTCGACCCGGCTCGTTACGAGCCTGGACTCCCACAGGTACCAGGTCCACCGGAGCTTCAACATATAAGGCATTGGGCCTTCCCAACCTAAAAGACTAGCCTCATAGGTGGGGTTCTCCCGCCTTATATGTTGTTCTTCCGCCTTATATGTTGTGCTCCTCCACCATCGCTACACGATGTGGGACTAAACCCCAACAATTCTTCTTCACCGCCCCGATGTGTTACTAAGGGGAGATTGTTTGCTAGTTTTATATAATAACAATAAAGCGGTAAAATTTCCGTCTCTTTTTTTGTCCGGTCTCCCTAACTAATTCTGTGCACTTTTATACAGTGTAGGGGAAGTGGAACAACCATGCAAAAACAAAAAGAAAAAAAAAGAACAAATTGGCAGCAGGACGTCCGGTCTCGTGGAGTCCTGGTCGCTCTGCGGCTGTATGCACACACGGACACTTCGGCTGCATGCCCAAGCAACGAATCCCTGGCATGAATACAACTCGAATACGTGTTTTTAGTATTATTAAACAAAGGATAAAGGATATTTCAGTTTCTAACTCCCTAGTTAGCATGAATACAGATCGGGTACTTGTTCTATTGCACAGAGGATATTTAAATTTATAACTCCGTGGCATAAATTAAATACAACTCAGATATGTGTTCTATTAAATAAAGATATTTAAATATTAAAAAATTTAAAGAACACGATCATACTAGGAAATGTGTCCTTATAGGACACCGATTCGTTTGCGAGTAATCAACTGAGATCCGGATGCAGCCCGTGCACACGAAGTGCGGAAGCCTCTCGATCACGGACGGCTCCATGTCCTCGATCCGGATGCAGCCCGTGAAGCTCTCCTCCATGGCGCCGCCTTCTTGACGTCGGCGTCCTTAGGCAGAGGAAGTGCAGCGTGATGGGGTGGAGCGCGTGGCGGTGCAGCGACACGGTGTCGAAGCACTTGACGTTCCCGGCGGTGGACACCATCCAGGGCAGCACCTTATCGCCGCCGACGCTGGACAGCACCAGCAGCTTGGACACCCTGCGCGCCGCGCGGTGCAGCTCCAGCGCTAGCCGCGTGTCGCCCGCGCGGCCCACACCACGCCGATGTGACGATGTCCACGCCGTGGTAGTCCTTGAAACCCTACAGGCTTGCGTTCGCCATGCCGGCCAGGTCCGACAGCGAGGCCATGTTCACGGTCGACAGCGCCGTCTCGCCTGAGATCTTGGTCAGCAGCACCTCCGTCTGCACGTTCATGAACACGAAGGGCACGCCGGAGGCCTGCGATGACAGCAGCCACGCGCGCGTCCGCGCGCGCGAGGGTGTCCTCCAGGGAGTTGTACCGCGTGCTGGACCCGTCCGTCGCCTTGGGTAGCAGCAGCAGGGAGAGCGAGGAAGCAGCTCGCCCCGGCACCGGCAGCAGCTCCCTCATCTTCTTCACGCACGGGAACGGCTCGTACGCGTGGCCGATCTTGACGTCGGGTCTTGCTTTTAACATGTGTGGACGTCGGGTTGTGCGGTCAAATAGCTTCTCCGTGAAGAAAAAGGTACGTACACAGTATTCTCCATTAAAGCTCCTCCTATTACTACCCTTCTCTCACTTAATTTATTTTCTTTCTTAATAAATTAATTGTTTGCCAAAATAAAATACAAAATATCTAAAAGTACTAGCATTACTTTATAACCACCCAAACAAGCCTCTTTTTAGCCCGTGTTTAGTTCCCCTTCAAATTCCCAAAAAGTGCTACAGTATCCATCACATCAAATTTTACGATACGTGCGTGGAACATTAAATGTAGACGGAAAAAAATTAATTGCACAGTTTGATGAGAAATTGCGAGATGAACGTTTTAAGCCTAATTAGTCCATGATTAAACACTAATTGCTAAATAAAAATGAAAGTGCTACAGTAGCCC